GGGATCTGGTTTAAGAAGAATTCTACTCAAAACCTCCCATGCCTAGGTCCCTGCCCCACCCAAGAAGAATATGAGGGCAGGGGCATTTATTTATTATAACTTATTTTATTTATTATGTTTTTAAACTGCTATAACTTTCCCATCTGTTTGGGAGTGACTATAACATGAAGGAAATAAAGCATGCTGTGGAAGGTGAATGCTAAACCTGGGGTCTCCTGCTCTGTTCTGTCCTAAGGAGTCAGCACCACCACGTGCCATAAGGTAAAACAGTAACATGTTTCACAGCTTCATCCGTCTAAGCCCGCAACCATGCCCAAAGGCTAGTACAGTATTGGAGGTGGAATACACACCAGAACATGCTCCACAAAGGGCAGTACAAATGGTACTGAATAGGGGAAGGAGTGGGCATGCCCCCATAGCCAAAGGCAGTGGTGCTCAACCTTTTGGCCCTGCAGACCAGATGCACAGCATAGGGTCTCTGTCCATGGGCTGGATTAAGCCCGTGTTCCAGGATTGGAGGCTGCCCCAGCACTGCCTCCCTGCTATGTGCCAGGATTGGGCTCAAGGGGCTGAGCGGCCCACTTGTGTGCCAGAACTGGGACTTACCACTACCCCTGCTTCCCAGGATCAGGTATCCAATCACATCTGCAGGGCCCAGGGGTTGAGGCTTCCCACGGGTCTTGAAATTTTGTAGTAGAAGAGTTGTGCCACTGCTCCCCCACTCCAAATTTCTGGAGCCATAGAAAGCCCCATGGGCTGAATGACTTGCAGCCCAGGGATTGAGTGGCCCCAGGGATGATACCAGGAACTGTTTCCCAAGGTTGTAGAGTTGGAATTACATATATAGGGTGAAAAAATGAAGGTGTCCCAAATTATTTAGCTTTGAAATGTGAAAATATCTAGACCGTCTGGTCAGTGTCTAACCTAGATTCTAAATCCTTGGGAACATGTATTTCTTCTGCACTGTGTGCAGAAAGAGCTCAATAATATAACTCTAAATACCAAAACTTTGTTTAAAAAATGTAAGTTAAGGGTGCTGAGAGACAGCAGTTTACTTACTTGTCATACCATTTAAAAGCACTTAAATGTAAAGGTTTTACTGTTCCCATACAATAAGCAGATGGTTTTCAGCAAGCATAAAGAAATGACAGGTTTTTATCACAACAGCCTTAGCTCTGACCCAGGGGTACTGATTAATGTTATTTTTGTTACCTTCTCCTTGGCAACAATGTATTTTTTTCTCTGGAGACTACATCCTTGCTATGGACCTACTATGAATCTGATTGGTCATTGTTGCCTTTCTTTTTAAGGCTGTTCTTTATGTTTGGAGAGTGCCAAGGAAAGAACCATTGTCAGTTTGAGTCTGTGGAAATGCATGATCATGTGTTGACTATTCACCAATGTCTCCATTAACTGCTGGCCACAGTCCTTCCACAGGCCTCGCCAGACCATTGCCCCAGACACTTCATGACTGCTTTACAAATGCTCCATCAGAAACCTGTCTGGCCCAGGAGAGATGAACATTCATTCTTGTCTCTGTTTGTGGGGGGGGGGGGTTGGGAGAAACACTATGAAACAGTCTGAGGAC